CATGCTGGGTACTACCATAATACAAACCTTATCCATGGCTCCCAGCATGCATTGCAGCATGAATGAGATTTATATACTGATTCTTGATGTCTGTGTAAGTCAGCATGATACCATAGAGGTTTTTAAAATCTGATTGTAACATCAATGGGCCTTGCAGCAGTATCACAGTTCTTTTATAATGAATAAAATACAAGATGTATATCACCTGTTTATTCAGAGATTATTCTCTAGAAAAGATCAGAGAATCATGACACCAAATGATGATTCATCATTCCATAAATCATCATCAAAACACAACCACATGCTCAAATTTTCTTTTGGCTTTTGTGCCATAACGAATGTGTTATATAAACACTCAGTTACAGCAGCCAGAGGAAAAAACTGGTGTTATAAAGTCAAGGGAAGAGCCCAACTAAAACAAACACTGACCACTCTCATAGTGTCTTTAAATGAAACTCAATAAATCATCTTCATCTAAACCTCTGTTCATTCACAATAACACCTTCTGTAGACACATGATAAAAGTCAAACTGGTTCGTAATAAGTGAAGCTGGTAATGCTGTTTGTGGAGTTGTTCAATCCCCCTCTGCTGAGATCTTGAGAGATTTAAAAAAAAAAAAATATCTTCAGTTGATTTAATCTAATGTTGTGGTTGGAAGTCAGTTGTAGTTCTTGTGTTTCTCTTTCCTTCAGTGATGTTAACAGCAGGTGTTCATCACTAATGCTCAACAATCACTTAATTAATTACTTAATTAATCACTTAATTTCTTGACTGCAACATTTACTTTTAGTGAACTCAACTGAAATAACTTCAGAGTACTCATAACTATTGTTTTTTTATAAACTTAAATTAATTGAGGCAATCGGTTTCCTCAAATGAAATGAGTAGCTTAACTCATTGGATTTGACTTTGTGTGTGATATTGTGAGCTTGCAGTAACTGGAAGTGCCCTGAGTTCATTTAAAGTTTGTCATTTCACTGTTTTTACTCAATAAAGTGAAGTTTCAGCTATATACAGTATTAAATGTAGTGTAAAGTTTAATTGTGTTTTAAGAAATATTATTGTTTAAGTGAACTCGAATAAAATAAGTTCAGAGTACTCATAACTATTGTTTTTCATAAACTAAAATGAATTGAGGCAATCGGTTTCCTCAAATTAAATGAGTTAGCTTAACTTGTTGGGTTTTACAGTGCTAATTCAGCTGATAAATGCAAGTAGCTATTGATAATTATTGAAACAAGATTCGAAGTGATCGCATCAGCAGCCGGTGATTCACATCACTGAGATTTGCATTTTATAGCAAACACTTCAACAAGTACACAATGTAGAATTTTAATACATACAGTAATAACACAGTTATTAACACATTAAATGGCTTTATGTTGTCACTTATTTACAGTCATAAATGTACGACCAACTATGATAAGTTGTCAGGCTAAGCACATAATATTCAAGTTCCTGAAGTTTTGTTTTTTATATTTTTGAAGGCTTTGAATGTTCTCATTAGAATTCTAATTCTAGAATAAAAGGATGCGTTAAATGTTCAATTCATTCTGTAGCGCCACCACCACCACCACCACAGTGTTCAGTTAGTCTGTAAAGAACCATTATTATAGAGGCAAAATGTGCAAATAAATGTCAGATTATCTGCTTAATAATTCAAACAGAAATAGCACACTACTTCTCCTTCATACTAAAATAACATAACTTTAGGTAAGTATAAAATAGCAGCAGTTATTAACACCAAAAACACAATGACAATATGTGTTTACAGTATATCCCGTATGTCTTGGGGAAAACAGCTCACCAAGATTCCCATAAATGAAAAACAACTTGTATAATACAATGAGACCTTGGCTCATAGCTCCCTGATTCTCTCTCCAACAAAACGTTATGTATTTTCACTTATTATCAATCAAAATGATCCAAGAGTGAATGTCTTTATCCGTCAATGAAAATTGCCTTTCTTGAGGCAAATGTTGATTAAGAGAAAGTGATAATTAGAGAGAACAAGACTTGGAAGTCTTGATACGTAGGTCCATTTCTTTCAACTCAAGTCAACATTTACCATTGATAAGATGAAATCAGTTCCACTCAATATAAAACCTGGTACATCCCATTTGAGTGAAAGGCACTGTAATGCTCATAGAAATAAATATGGACTTGTAAGTGGAAAACTCTAAATACATTTCTCCTCTTCATTGGCTGAGCTTCCTCTAAAGTGCCACAACAAACCATGATTATCATTTCAAATACAACATGATAGAATTATGATATACACTACTTACTTGGAATTATATTAGAAAACACATACATAGAGACAATAATATGACAAAGGTGTTAGAGATAAATGTTAAAGGCGCCGTTTTGCAAGTTACCCAAAACGGTAGTTTGCTGGTGGAACCATTAAGCCACCCAAATGCACTTGATGATAGTGCATTTGTTGTTTAATTTTAGAGTGATTCTCTCATTTTTAATTACACATAGTGGACAGGATGTGATAGGTTTATGAGATTATGAGATGGTTTAAGTTGTTTTATTATTTAATAATAGGATTATGCAACACGGATTGAAATCTAATTTCTGTTACTTATGTTTTCCGAGAAACTGTTATTAGTTAGGTAACTTTTATAATCATCTGTTTCACCCCCAAAAAATCTTGCAAACACCGAAACACTAAAAATGAAACTCATTGGCTGAATCTCACAAAACCTGTGAAGTACCTGACTGGGTAATTTTTCACCACAAAATAAATAGAAACTATGCATATTTTAGCACCATCCATTTTTTTTTTTACAAATCATTTGCATTACAGTTATTCCCCAATTCTCTTTACTGTATGGACAAAAACGTATTACTGAAAAAAATAGTATTTAATTATTTGAATGGTAAAGTATTTATACATCTTAGAAGTACTTGTTTTAGAAATACTTAAAGGACAAGTTCGGTATTTTACACTTGAAGCCCTGTTTTAAGATCGTTTCTGATGAAATAGAACGGTTAAGATTGAAATTTGGACACATGCTGCTGTCCCGAGAATTTTCGGATTCTGTGGTAGCACCCCCCCACCTCCACAATGGTTGCATAGGTGCACTGGAACAATCCTTCATAAAACGCATTAAACTTTAGTTTACAAAGACGTGAAACTCACAGAGTGGTCAGGGGTGTTCACTGATATGCTCACACAAAAATCGCTGCAAAAGATGCTTTCCAACAGGTTTTATCGTTTTTGTCCAAGTCAAGTCAATGGAGTTGGACAAAAACTACGATAAAACCTGTTGGAAAGCATCTTTTTTTTAATGCAGCGATGTTTGTGTGAGCATATCAGCAGCATGTGTCCAAATTTCAATCTTAACCGTTCTATTTCATCAGAAACGATCTTAAAACAGGGCTTTAAGTGTAAAATACCGAACTTGTCCTTTAACTCTTGCATTTTGTCCATGCAAGATATTGACCAAAAATGTATGCACCTCTTGATGGAAATAAATGTTGGGTTAAACTTTATTTTAAAGGGACAATGTGAACTTTCTTTTATGTATTTTATTATTTAAAATCAATATTTTTATTCATAAATATGTCCTAAAATGGTGTACAAATACCTCTGCCAATTATCTGACTTATCCTCGTAAACGAAGAATTTATTATCTTTATATACATGGGACGGGTAGGTCCACGGAAGCTTCCATGTAGTTCCGCCATCTTGAAAACTATAATAGCAGAGAGGGACAAAATGTACTTGGCCAACGTGTTTCCACAACGCTTTTTCAGTCAGAGCCAGCGTGACGTAACCGAAAGCAGCAGAAACGGAGGAGCAGAGCAGTGAGAGGCGCTTGTCACTGCCCCGGCAAGTTTAAAAGGCTGCATTGCAAATCCTCGTCGCCAGAAAAGTCCAAAATAGATTGTAAAAGGAAACGTGACCGGAGATTACAAAAAACGAGTTAATGTCGGGATAGCTTTTTCCAGGTGGATAGAGCTAATGCAGGAGAAAGATTTCAAAAGAGACGCTGAAGTCCTGCTTTCTTCTCGACAGGTAAGTCAATGTTACAGTCTTAATTACAAGCTTTTTTTCATTGTTTGGTTGTGTACTTTATTTTATAGACAGATGAACATTTATAGTTAAAAGTTGATGATGATATCTAACAATGCACGTACTTCAGAAAATATAACAAATAAAGAAGGCATAACTACTTATTACAATAGTTCATGTTTTTCACAGTCAGTAATTCATACTGTAACATTCGTTTGTTCGTTGTGTCAAGTTGCTGTTTGTTTGAAATAACAAACCTGTTCACCCGAAGGAACACTCGACGAAGTGCTATAAGAAGACATCCTGTCATAGCTTTTTGGTACATAATGGCTACCGTAGATGCAACGCGCATTTGAAAAAGCGAGGCGCTGGAGAGCACAATTCGCTTGAATGCAAAATACATTTTCATTGTCATTTCATGTCATTGTTACAGTTTAATTATGTGTTTAAGTACTGAGTAATATTAGGTAACTACATGTACTTACTGTAGGGTTAGGGTTGGATTAGGGTTTGGTTGAGGGTTAGTTGCATGTAATTATGCATAATTTACTGTTATTACTATGTTAAGTACATTATGTAACATATGTAACAAGAACACTGTAAAATAAAGTGTTTTTTTTTTTTTTACAGTTTTTTTAGAGGATGTTTACAGTTTGTTTTTTTTTTTTTTGTTTTTTATGCTTTTTAGGTTATATTTTTGGTCAAGATCTTGTATTGACAATGCAAGAGTCCAGCACTCTGTAAAGTCTCCTCCAGCACACCCCAAAGACCTTCAATGAATTTAAGGTGCCAATTCATGTGTGAAAATTAATCTTCATGCTCCTCCCAACCATTCTTTCACAATCTGAAGAATCTTGACCTTGTCATCCTGGAATACTTCCTACATGGTTGTTTAAGAAAGTAAAAGCTACACACTCCATCAATTAGGGTTAGAAGATCTTTGTGTATTTGAATCCAAACAGCGACTTTATAATTTTTATTTATTTTTTGGCTGGGCAGTGTATAATCTCTTGATTTTGGGGTGAAATATGACCTGCAGATGTTTAATGTGATTTATGCTCATGAAAATGAAGTTTCGATATGGGTTTTAATACTTAATACTTCCCATTTGCCTTGTTCAGAGAGGAACTACTTCCATGTTTTGTATTGTTCCCTGACTTTGAAGCTTGATCGGTTGTCTCAGCTACGGGCTGCTTCTCCTCCTGATCTGTCTCTCTATGGTAAAAGTAGTTGAAATTTGAGACTATTACAGGCACTGGCAGGGCGATGGTCAACACCCCAGCAATGGCACATAAAGTGCCCACAATCTTACCACCTAGTGTAATGGGACACATGTCTCCATAACCCACAGTGGTCATGGTAACTACAGCCCACCAGAATCCGTCAGGGATGCTAACAAACTGGGTGTTGGGGTCGTCCACCTCAGCGAAATAGATGGCGCTGGAGAAGAGTATGACGCCAATAAAGAGAAAGAAGATGAGCAGCCCAAGCTCCCTCATGCTGGCCTTGAGTGTCTGGCCCAGGATCTGCAGGCCTTTGGAGTGTCTGGAAAGCTTAAAGATCCTGAAGACTCGCACCAGTCTAATGATTCGCAGGATGGCCAGGGACATATTCTGCCCTGTGTTGGACTTATGGGTGGTGGTCACGATCTCAGTAATCAAAGTGACAAAATAGGGAATAATGGAGACAATGTCAATCATGTTCATGATGTTGTTGAAAAATTCTCGTTTGCTTGGGCAGGCCATAAAACGCACCAGAAGCTCGAAGAAGAACCAGATAATGCAAGCGGTCTCAATGATGAAGAAGGGGTCGGAGAAGGTGCTGGTGATGGTTTTGGGGGAGGCGCTTGGAGGAGAACCTGAGGGATGCGTTTGGTTTAAGGAAAAAACAACAGTTGGAAAAATATCCTGCTCCTCACGGAATTCTGGGAGAGTCTCCAGGCAGAATATGATGATGGAGATGACGATGACGAAGACGGAAACGAGAGCAACCCCTCGGGCTGCATTTGAGCTCTCAGGATACTCAAAAAGCAGCCAGAACTGCCTGTGGAACTCATTGGACGGCAACGGGACCTCCACTTCTTTGATAAAGCCTTCCTCCTCGCGGAACTGGTCCATAGCTTCCTGTCCTAACTCGTAGAAGGTGATCTCATCTGAGAAGACATCTAAAGGTACATTCGCAGGCCGGCGAATCTTGCCCCCCGACTGATAGTAGTAGAGGATCCCATCAAAGCTTGGACGATTGCGGTCAAAGAAGTACTCGTTTCTCATTGGGTCAAAATAATCTATTCTTTTTATTGGGTCGCCCATAAGAGTCTCAGGGAATTGGTTGAGGGTCCTCAGGCGGGTTTCGAAGCGAAGACCGGCGATGTTGATGATGACCTTCTGATCACCCTCATCAAGACCTCGCTTATCAACAAACAAGTCCTCGTAGCATTCTTTGGCCAGTCTACTGAAGATTGTCTCACTTTGTGTTCCTTCACTGTTCACAAGTAACTTCCAGTTGGAAATTAGACTAGCACAGCTAGCACGTCCTCTCCTCGTGTGAGGCGGCAGGACAGGTGATTGTGGTACATCCAGATTTGGTGGGGTCTTCTCTTTATATGGTGACACTTTTGCAGTATTGCAGTAGGTGCTGCCAGGCCCAAACTCTGGCATTTCTACTGTCAAAGCCGTCATCTCATTGGGATAGTCTGGGTCATTGAAGTTGTCCATACAGTTGTCAATATTTTCCATACTGTCAAAGTCGACTAGCGCCACCTCCATCCTTCCAGCCTGGACCGTCATGTGGCCCCAGATATCACAAAACAGCCCAATTCTACCTTCACTACAACAAAATCACTGGTTCAATACTTCAAATGCTCTTCTGCATTTGATTTTGAGGTTAAGGTGAACAAACTGAGGAAGAATCAACAGAGCTGGGACCTGCAAAACAAAGAAGAAGTGTTATAGAGTGTTTTTGCCTAATAAAACTCAGACTAAAGCAGTAAATGGTGTTTGAGAAGCACATTGTTTCTTGGTAACTGCTCTGAGACGAACCCTGAGGAGAGCAGCTGGTGAAGGTGACATATTTTGCGAGGTGTCAGCATCACAACACTTCCAAAAATGCCAGTTGTTGCTGGGTTATTTTTGTTTTCTCTGTGAATCTACTTTACACTGCAAATGTGGGAGTGATGGCAAATTTCACAAGTCTATCACAATCAATGAAGGAAACACTAAACATCCTCTTTCGGACTGACATGTTCAGATCTTAGTATATTTTTTCATTGTTACAATGTTTTTATGAGAATTAAACACATGTCCTCCTCCAATTCACAATTACTGTAATGCAAAAGAAATAATGATATACTAAATTAACTATTTTAAAAGTATGGTCACACTTTATATTAGGTGTCTTTAACTACTATGTATTTACATAAAAATACACTTATTGTGTTGTATTGCCAAACACTTGTGCTGCTATTGAGGTGGGATACGGGACAAGTTTAGAGACAGGTTGGGTGGTATGGGTAAGTTTAAAATCCCCATGAATTCAAAATTGATGTTTTTTGGCTTTTAGTATGAATATGTTCGTCTTGCTGTTATCTATAAGCTAGTGTGCTCCAATACAATGAAAAAAAAATAGCATTTAGAAGATATAAGCGTAAAACCTACAGTCTCTCACTTCCACCAATATGGATCAATGATTTTGATGACGTCACTCTACACTTCTCTTCAGATTTTCTGTCCAATCAAATGCTCTTTAGAATCTGAGGTTCCGCCTCCTACATTATAAATAAATGCTAAATCTACGGCTGTAATCGGTCACTTGTTCACACATTTACCATTTTCTACAAGGTGAATGGCATATAGTGCACTATATAGGGGATAGGGAACGATTCAGAAAGTGTAAATATGCTTCCCATTGGGGCGAATGAAGTCTGGTTTCACGTCAGTCTCACGCCGCAGCTCCGGTCCAGAGACACGATAGCACAGAGCGGATCATGTGCGCGAGTCGGCGCAGGCCAGAAAACATATCGGACTCTGCATTTGAATTCTGCACATGCTATTTTTTAAAGCGATATGGAAAAGATTAGGAGGAGAAACGTTTAGAGATAAGGGGGAAACTGCAGCTTTTTCGAGCTCAACGCCTCTGGACGAATTGTGATATAAACTAAACGCTACTGGCTTCTTTAGAAAAGGGGAGGAGCTGTTCGATATGTCCCGCCCTGTCTTCTTGTTTCAGTGGAAATTATATCAACATATTGAATAACGCTATATGTTTAAAGGCACTTCAGTGGGCCTTTAAGTGTGGGTTTAAGAGGTAAGGGAAAGGTCAACAGGGGAATACAGTAGATGTAATTACAGAAATTAATTACTGACAATTACATGCAGGTCTTTTTTGAGTACAATGTAAAAACATGTATGCACACAACACTGTAAGTGCAGTGTAGTAAATGATTAATTTAAATGTTAGTACATAGAAGTTAAAGACACTTAATATAAAGTGGAACCAAAGGTATTTATACATTATGGTAGTATATGTTGTACTGTTTAATTTAAATAAATAATAACATTTTTATTAAACAATAATAAATAGTGCATTTAAAAAAAAAGAACACTTAAGGGATAACACCATTAACAATAACTGGACAGATTACATGAATGTGAATTTGGAAAGATTGATTATCATGAATGTATGTGCATGGAAATGTCAATGTCTTAAAACAGGCTTTATGCAAAATATTTAATAATTTAGTTTTTTTTTTTGGGGGGGGGGTCATATTAACACTCAAATGCTATGGGTTGCTTCTTTGCATTCCCATATCCTCTAGCTGTCACAAACTCGAGTTTCGTACATGTGACCGGACATTTGGACAGGTTCCCTGCTGTTCTAAATGTGACGTTTCCCGTTTCTATGGTGACACACCTCTGACACAACAGCGGGCCGGACATCACCTTAGCTAATGTGTAACCCCTGTCAAACACTTGACACCAGAGTCCTGGCCTGTGAGGCAGTGTGGGAGAATAAGAGAGCCGCCGAAAGAGAAGTCGAGAGATAGCACCAGAGCCAAGGAAGCCGAGAGAGAAAGAGAAACTGTTGGCCCAGTAAAGGCCAAGACTGTGGGGAAAACAATCGCCCCTCATCTAATTCACTTACTATTCCACTGACCTGCATTGGGTTCAGAGGAAATGTTGCAGTGCCTTCAGACAAGCTGTACAAGTCATTAATAACAGGACTGTGTAGAGCCAGTATTTCTCTCTGGTGGTTTTAAACACGGTAACCAATAGCCGCATTTCCATTACCCTGGCCTTCAAATTGCTCAAATTGAAATTGAGAACTGAAAATACGCCCAATGGAAACACGTAAAACGTTTTTAACGCTCGCATCAGGTGGTTTTTCAGGGAATTAAAAAAATTGCATTGGGAACTTTTTACGCATTTGAAGGTCATCTGGCGTACGTTAAAGTCGAATTTTTTTTAAAGATGAAGCGGTATGTTTGGACAGAAGACTAAAATCATAAAAGACAAAAGAATTACTGGAATACTGGATTCTAAACAACAAGAAATGCCACAATTTTTCAAGATCTTGAAGCAGATGGGAGGGAGAAACCCCTCATACATGGCCCTCCTTTCCTTGCCATTAATGCTTGGATAACACATCTACATCTCCTTCCATTAAAAATAATGGCTAGTGCGGTGGCTGGGATATGTGTAAACCTCCCAACATCCATTACTATCGCGAGAGAAAAAGTCCCATAACACCGGTTAATGGAAACGCCATCTTTTCGCAATAGTTTTTTTATCGACATTTTTTTATCGACACTTCTAACACATAGCTAATGCTAAAAACAATGGCTATACAAAACATATCACAAACAAAATAAAGAGTTTTGCAGTGTCCTTTTTACAAGTGTTACATGTAGTTACTATATAATAACTATAAATACATAATTACAACTATAGACCAAACCTAATCTATCCCTAACCCCATAGTAAGTACAAGTGGTTCATTTATATTACTCAGTACTTTAATGTATAATTACACTGAAACAAATACACCCTGAAATAAAGTGTAACAGGAGTTAATTTTAGGTTACACTTTATTTCGACGGTCCAGTTTAGACATTCTACCACTTTGCAATTACATGTCAACTAACTCTATTAGATATAGAGTGATATTAGAGTATCAGACTGTTAGGGTTTGGGTTAGTAGAACAAGTTGACATGCAGTTGCAAAGTTACTTAAAGTCAGTAGAATGTCTAAACTGGATTTGATTTCATGCATGTATATTACAGGTATTATAGATTTCTAAATGTCCTTGCATTAACAGGCTAAATCTCAATAGGAGCGTGGTTTGAGAGGCGCAGACAGATGTTTAATTAAAGATGCCAAAAATGAGTCATCCTGCTCAGCTGCCACTGACCAGAAAATAGAGAACATGTGCGTCACGAAGAGAGAGAGAGAGAGAGAGAGAGAGAGAGAGAGAGAGAGAGAGAGAGAGAGAGAGAGAGAGAGAGGCTGTCATTATACGAAGTAAAATTTTATTTATATAGCACTTTTAACGCTGCAACGCACAAAGTGCTTTACACGATATAAGAACACAATCATCAAGAATACATTCATGTAGATCTATGAAATGGAATACAAATATAAAATACCCAAAACCCAGAACAGAGAAAAATACTAAAAAGCACGTCTATACAAACACGTTTTTGAACGACATTTAAAAACAGACACACATTCAGCCAATCTAATATCCACTGGCAAACTAGTCCATATCTTTGAAGCCGCTACTGCAAAAGCTCCGTCTCCTTTAGACTTATATTTGGTTCTTGGAACAGCCAGAAATTTGATAAAAGAAGATCTAAGACATTTAAGGTCTCAAAAGCTCAGCTAAATACATAGGCGCCAAAACCATTTAATGCTTTGTATATGTCAACAATGAAATCTTAAAAATGATCAGTTAACCAGTGTAAAGAAGCTAAAACAGGTGTAATACAATTAAATAACTTTAAATAGCTTTACGAGGGAAATAAATTACAACAATGAAGAAACACTGATGTAGCAGGACATACTTACATATATTTGGGAAAAATACAAGCACACAAAGAATAAAGCAGAAGAGAATATGTTGTTATGAGAAGTGTCTGATGCTGATCAGTGCTGTTCGGCTGGATAATGATATTTACAGGAATATATTCAAGGTCACTCAACACCACTGCTGGCAGACCACGCCGCAAAACCCCAATCAAATCTTTCATAATCAGCTATTCTAGTTAGGCAATTTAATTTAATGTTTTAATCTTTCTTTATTTATTTATTTTATTTATTTTTTATGTTTCACATGATGTGAAAGTCATGGAAGTAAATTCAAATAAATATTACCGTATTCTATTCTATTCTATTCTATTCTATATTTTAGTTTGTCATATTCTGTAATTTATCTCTATACTGTATACTAAAAAAAAAACTTTTTTTTTTCAGCATCTTAAGTTTATCAAAGAACCCTCTTCATTTCAAGAACCATTTTTCACTGTAGGGTTTTTTCTAGAAAGATCTTTGCAAATTGAAAAACATTTCAATATAGTTATTGAGATAGTTCTAGCTCCAGTTCTATAGCTGGGCGTTTTTAACACTCTTAAGAACTCTTACAATAACAATAACTCTTATAAGTGAATATTATATCAGTGAATCTCACGCAACATATCTAGGTCATATTTGACCGTATAATAATAAATAAAAAGATTCTAAATATTTTGGGAAAAAAAATTGTATATATATAAAAGCCTCTTTTAGTTCTAAACAGTATAATCTAAACAGCAATCTGAGAAATGAATTGTTCAGACTTCGAAATGTATGATAGTAAAGCACATAGAGGATTTTAAAAGCAACATTTAGATTTATAAAACATTGAAATTACAGATAATTCAGAACAAAATTACTCTAATGAACATTTAGGGTGTCAGGGTGTCTGAACAGATGTTGCCAAATACTCATTTTGTAACTGAACACACACACACACGCACGCACACACACACACACACACGCACACACACAGACACACACACACACAGGCCTACCTCTCGTGAGAGAGGGGTCTCCTGTCCGGCTGTTGTTTCTGCTTGTTGCTTGTTCTACATTTGAGTTCAGAGTGGCTTAATCTATTAAAGTCAGCATTGGGTAACCTTATGCTGGTGAGAAACTAGAGCTGACACTACGCAAACAACTACGCACACAGACACATACGGAACTACACAAACACAAACATTTGTTTCGACACACACACACACACACACACACACACACACACACGCACACACACACACACACACACACACACACAGAAAGACAAAAAAAAAAGTAAAAAAAAAAAAAAAAATACAAGAGAGAAGAAAAAGCTATCACACAACAGTAAAAAAAGGTCAGATTTTAAAGGATCAAACTTTAATAGAGGTCCATATAGGCACCGCTGTAACCAATCTCTCCTCAAAGGCTCACCTTCTCACCTTTAACAGGGAGAGACGTCTGATCGCCTTTGTAAAACAGCTGTTAACTCTCATACGCTAGATTTTATATTCATCACGACATGTCGAAACGTCGAACCGGTGGCAGCCACATTTGATGAGCGTAGATCAACCAAGGCTGAATATACCTGACCAGTGCCTTACATCATCCAGCATCAATATCTGCCAGAGCGATCGGTTACATATCACATCAGTCCTGAGCCTGCTTATTTAAAGATCACTACACCTCACCGGCTCGCCACACTTACAGCTCCATCGGTCACAGACAGGTCGAGGTCACTGAAATGACAGACGATAACTATCAATTTATCTGTAGATTTGATGAATTGATTTGTGGCTTGCATCAGATATCACTGATTTTTTTTTTTCAGTTGTGAAAACTGCTGCTGTTTGTCTGTCTACAATGATCTATCTATCCATCTATCTATTGATCTTGTCCGTCCATCTATCTGTCTATCCATCTGTCCGTCCATCCATCCATCCATCCATCCATCCATCCATCCATCTATCTTGCCTAGAACATGCCAGCAATGTCAAAACTTTAAAAACCACTCAGCAACCACAAAGAATATCCTAGCATTTACTAGGATAGTCTCTTAACTGGAAACATTTTATCTGGATCATTATCTGATGGGCTGAATTCTACAGGATGTCCGGGAGACGTGTGTCGCGTTCTTTAACAGTCCGCCTGGAAACAAAGCCGTTGTGATGCCAAACCCCCTCATGGAAAAAGATAGCTGTCATGTTTACAACTGTGACAATGTGCGCTTATCAGGATCAACTAAACGCTGGATTTTCAAAAGTATGTGAAGTTTGTGGCTCCATTTGTTGCAGTAAACTTGCACAACATTCTTGAAAGAATAATTTATTTGATGCACGCCGGCCTGTTATCGTAGGGACGTCGACTTTAAATTTTCACGCCCCTAAACATGACACGGAACCAAACGAACTGTGATTGGTTGCGTTACATGTCGGTCAAACGTCCACTAGGGCGGTCCTTGGCCAATGAAAGCTGCGATAGAGTCCAGACCTTCTGCCGTCAGTCTGAAGGTCTGGCTACGCGAGACTAGCGTTCACCTAGCAACTGCTGCAGAACAACTGAGCAACTATCTAGCAACCTCCCTGCGACCATTCAGAATGGCCAAGCATCCACCAAGCAAAACCTCAGAACACTTTAGCAACTGCTTAGCAACACCCTAGCAACCACTCAGAACACTTCTTTAAACTGCCCTTTAAGTGTAAGTATTCAAATTAAATAACGCTTGGCCAATGATATTGACTTTTGACTATTGACTTTATATTGACTATATTTATTACACCTATACTTTCATAAGCGAAAACCTGGTGAAAATGATAATCCATAATAGATTCTCAGATAAAAGCACCATGCTGTAACTATGCATGTCTGGTCTGTTCTTGTTAAGAGAGATTAATTACACACTGACCAGCGCCGCGGTAATGTGACATGATTAATGACTTGTGGGCTGCAGTCCAAACACTGAATGCTCTCATCAATTTCTCCCTGTCTGGTCATTAAATTAAACGGTGACTTCTATTACACTTTTAAACCAGGTCCTTTAAAATGCAGTCAAAGACGGCCCATCTCCATGTGACAGGTTGTTAAACAGCTGCTCATTTCTGTCCAATGAATTTAAAACCACTAAGCTTAAAGGGCTTTTTTTTTGCAATGTTCCCGGAGTTCCACTTTTCTTCAAAAAACATCCTTAATTTAGAAGTAATAAACTATTTTCTATCCTTTTTGACCCTCTCATTCAAACACTGATTGGATAGCCTTGCCGCATTCAAGACTTGGAAGTAAACACCCACTGCTATAATTGGGTAACAATTTTGCATATTAAAATAATTAAGTACTTGGAGTTACCACCATAATAATTGACAAAGGATGACTTACGGTGTAATGAATGAATAAATGAATGAATGAATGAACGAATGAATGAATGTACCATCGCTTTGATGTCGTTCTTACAGTCTATTTTCATAGTTCATCCTTTTCGATAAAATGAAAAACGTACACATTGTAATTTGCTGTGTCGTGTTTTAAAGTCTCCCTGTAGTCAATAATTGAATCCCTATGATCTTTGATCACCAAAATGAAATATTTAAATGTTTTTCCTATTAATTTTTTTTTTCATGCCTATATTGAATTAAAATAGCTTGAATCTAACTACACCCTTGCTTTATTTAGTATAAGCGGAGCCATGGATATGCAAATGAGCTCCGCCTCCTATCACGACCACTCACTTTGACTGCGGCTCTACAAATACTCTATCTATAAAAGAAAAATGAATAGTGATGCATGGTAAAAACTCTGTTACTCACTTGTAACGTTTTGCCCCAGGATGAAGAAGATGACGTAATTCAAGTAGAAGTTTATTCATCAAAGTGACTCAGGTAATCCAAGAGTGATGAAACACAAACAAAACAACGTGCCATGCACAAATACAACAATGCCGGACAAAGGAACAGAGGGAACTGAAGGGCTTCAATATACAAGATGATGAACTGAATACTAACAGGTGGGATCTAATTAATGAGTAACCAAGGAGACTATGACTGAACAATGAACAAAATAAAACAGGAAACAAAAGATGAGCAAACTAAAAGTCCTTGAAAATGAAACTAAGACGGAATAAACTGAGAGTAATTGAAATCCTCCGAGGTGTCTCTATCGTTTTGTTATCCTGTTTTTGCGTCTCTCTTATTTACTACTATACGACATGCGTGAATCTAAAGAGGCAATGATGTAGAAGTAGGCGTTGGTCTTCATCTGCAGAAGCGGTCTTTCATCACACTATGACGCAATAATGTGACAAAATCCCAAACGAGTCATTTTCGGAGTTTGGTTTCAATAAAAGCTGTTTTAGAGTTTAGAGTTTTGAAACTTACAGGATACTTTTTTAGCATGATGACCTCTTATACATCAAACGATCAAGGACAATTATATTTCTCAATACATGGCCCCTTTAAAGGTTTTAACTGCACATCACAAGCAGAATGTTTCCATAACAAGCATGCTTACAATTCCTTAATCAATCTGTCACTCAAAAGGAAATTAATATGAAAGTCAAAAGCCATTAAAAGCTAAGCATGTAAATCCTAAATAACGCCATTTGTCCTTTGAACAATTTTGGCTGTGTTATTAATAGATTGAAGACTTAAGTGGGGCATTCTCAAAGTGATTATAACCATTCCATGAGGTAAGATGCAGGAGCTTAGTAATCAAAAACATTCATTTTGTGTTCAGTAAAAGATTCTACTTAAAATACACAGCATACACATATACTGTATGTTGGAAAAAATAAATTAATAAATCCATAACATATAGCGTAAAATAAAACAAAGCAGACATACGAGTCTACATTTTCTTTCAGTCGACATTGAAAAAAATAATGCATTGTGACTGCATTGGGCTACCCCCGATCCACATCAGGTGATGTTGGGCTTGGTTGGGAATCAGGATGGTTATATTAAGAGGATTAATGTGGCAGAGGCAGATCAGTGATATAAGCTGAGGATCACCTCGCTCAACTAAACATTAGCGCCACATGGCTGCAGGCTCAACTATAGTGGGCACAAGTCCAAAACATCAATCCATCATCAGGATCCAGAAGCTTCTTCACAATAGATGACTAGTCCATCACTGCCTGATAAGAAAGACCCATAACATGTCGTGAATGTGTTAACAAGATAGCAGCAGTTATGGAGCAGGATTTTCCTTTAATAGGAAGTGTCCTCTATGACCTAAAAGGAATTTACTGCAGGACAAGCCCACATCAGGACATTATATGTCTGTGCCTATAATAAAAAAAAAATAATCCTAAAAGCAGCATTTAATGCCCTGTCACCGGAAGTACATCAGAAGAGCGACCAAATAAAGTTGCTAGTACTTAAACTGAGAGGGAGGTTCATCCGTCCTCAAGTAATGTGAAATCTGAAAGCTTTAATGACCGGTTTCGATTAATATTAATTAAAACTAGAAAAGGAAAAATACATTAAGACATTTTGACACATATGGAGTTGATAAAACCTTAAAGGTTACAGGCCTTGGATGGATGGATGGATGGATGTACCAAACAGACAGATAGATAGATAGATAGATAGATAGATAGATAGATAGATAGATAGATAGATAGATAGATAGATAGATAGATAGATAGATAGTCAGTCACACACTGAGAGAGGTTTATGTTTTCACCCTCCTCTACGTCATAGTTTGACTTGCGTCAGTACGAATACAACCTAAAAATATTAGAATATTCGATTATAACTAGGCAAACCGTCATATTTATTTATTTAATCTATTTTCTTTCTCTCTTACCACGTTTTCCGTGTTCAATCCATGGGAAGGGATTTCAGCTTACTGGGCTGATGAAAGGAAACTATTTTTCAAATTCTATTTTTACTTCCTAAAGAATGCAACAACAAAAAAAAGAAGAAGAAGCTGTTTCTCAGAGACCGATGGTCATTTTTTGTAACTGACGTAGTGTTTGCTATTCCTAGTATTTTACTGTAAAACACAACATCATTTTTTTTTATTCAATTGCAGTCTTAAAACTCAGCGACTTTGCACGAATGGATATGACAGGAAAGGATGCTCTCCCTGTCTGGCCCTCTATTCTGTGCATTTTGGCCCGTGGAGCTTGGGGATTCTCCTTGGCACGGCTTCTGAGATTTGCAGAGACGAGGAAGCCCTCAGACATAGAGATG